AACCTTCAAAACTCCCAATATTGTCATTTCATCTGATTTTATGAATACATTATGTCTGTGACTGTTCCAATATCATGTAAATATGATCTGACTGGAATAAAAATTATTTTTTTACCGAAATATGCGCTGGTCAGGCCCTATCCCCCGAAGCCCCGATATATTCGGGAAGGCGCGCCAGCAATATCGACCAACGACCACTCCCCACACCGTAGGGTTAAGTGATCATTGGGTCCGAGAATCATGTGCCCTGAGCAAGCGCAGTGAGCTAAGAATGACAGCCTTTTGCATCTGTCCGGCTAAGATTTCTGCCTTGGTGCGGCAGACTAGTATGGTTTTAAGATTCGAAAAAGAAAGGGCATCATTCCACCAAGGACTCCAATAATCAGAACAACCATCTTGGATAGAGTCTGCGGTGTTCGAAGAGAAAATCTCGATATTTTTTCCGTTTCTACTCCTCTTTTCGGACAATATTCGTCTCGCCAGGAACTGAAAACACCACGACGAATATCGTCTTGCTCTGGTGGTCGAGAAGGACTACTGAGGGTGGGTACTACTGAGGGTGGGAAACGAATACTTCCAATAAATTCGGCACTTCTCGTTCCCCATAACGGATTCAACATCCCCCGGAGCGTAGGGCAACACCGGTGTCTCGTCAATACCGTAAAAGTGCCGTAGATGGCAATATAGCACTCTTAACGCCGCGTTATGTCGATGGATGTAATGGAAATGAAAATTATTATTTTTATTATTATTTACTCAAGTTACGCTACGCCCAACGATTTTATTATCCTTCTATATGATCAATACTGTGGATTACCGAGGATAGTATGGGTGTGATGACTGCTACCTAGGACCTTCCGAATAATTTTTTAGTTTTTAGTACATTACCTACATCATCATATTCTTTTTTCAATAAAATCGTTCAATATAAAATTTTTTTTTACTTATTTTATCTTCAAGATTTTGGAAAATCAGGAAGTGATAGAATTGTATGGAACGGCGCTTTACTTTTTATTGTCACAAATATTCATTCCTCAATCTATTCACCTAACAATTCATTTGTTTGAATTCAATTGATTCATGCATTTGTTGAACACATTAAAAACGATTGTGCGCAAAATTTGCTCTATTTCAAATGACACTCGATTTAAAATGTTACATGAATAAAATTGTTATTTGAATAAAAAAAGACTAATGAAATAACTTGAAGCTTATATTGATTCCAAAGAAAAATATTGTTTCAGAGTATTGGAAAATGGAACGCCAATTTACTATATATTATGCTGAAAAATAATCTATATACATTATACATATAGTTCAACTCAGCAATGAACAAACATTTTTATTCAACAGTCAATGGAATGTATTATTCGAGTAAATTCAAGAAACGTTTCAATTTCGCATATAATTTTGACCTTTGAATAAAATGTTAGTTATTTGTATGAGTGTTGAATTATAATGAAACTTTAAATTCACTTGTTGATAATAAAAATAGACTTTCGTTTGTCTGAAAATATAGCAAATTAACTTTCCATACTAAATATTTTTCTATGAATAATAAAGATTGTTATATTTCAATTTCATTGAAAAGGGATGCTCCAGAAGTGTTTTATAAAAGACAAGCTAAACGACAGCGATCTTACAATGAATCGGATGGACTTAATTGAAATTTGGTGGTACAAACTTCTTTTATTTGTCAAAACACTAAGAATAAAAGAAACATAACAATATTGTTTTATGTACTTTCACTTTTCACGTATAGTATAACTACTCTTTAAGATTAAGTACTGTGTATCTCAAAAACAAGAGCTAATAAAAAATGTTCATTGTTATTTTCGTTTTTATCACCCCAAAATTAGTAGAAATTGACTAATTTAGTGTAGGAAACATTCAAAAAATATTTTTTTGTTGTGTTGTGATAATTATAGTTACATGAATTAAAACGATTGTTGATAATTTTAGTTCGGCGCTAGCGTCGAGCGGATTCTTGCTGAATTTTCAAATCTGGCAACATGATAGTCTAGTGATAGTAACACAATATTCCGTCCCACCGCAGCGCCGAATAAAAATTATCAACAATCAATTTAATTCGTGTATCACCTAAAAGCAACAATCAAAACAATTAATTTTTACAAAATACCGAAAGAAAGTAAAACGGCGTGCTACGCCTTTTTATTAATATTCCTTTGAAATGAGCTGGATTATTTTGTTTGTTGAATTTCAGTGATACATCAATTGAATTGATTGTTGATAATTTTTATTCGGCGCCACAGTTGAACGGCGTTTTGTCGTACTATAAATGAATCAGCATGTTGCCATATGTAACACTTGAAGTTCTTGATAAATCCGCTCGATACCAGCGCCGAATTAAAATATCAATGCAACAAACTTTTTAAATCATCAAAAAATTTAAGTCTTTGTCAGAAATTAGCTTTTTAAAAAGATTGATGAAATAAAATGATACTTGCTTGAGAATGTTTTGCACAAAAGTTGTAACCAAATTTTTGATTGAATGCATTAAAGTGAATGTTGGAAATATTCAACAATTTCAATGAAATTGAAATATAACAATCTTTATTATTCATAGAAAAATATTTAGTATGGAAAGTTAATTTGCTATATTTTCAGACAAACGAAAGTCTATTTTTATTATCAACAAGTGAATTTAAAGTTTCATTATAATTCAACACTCATACAAATAACTAACATTTTATTCAAAGGTCAAAATTATATGCGAAATTGAAACGTTTCTTGAATTTACTCGAATAATACATTCCATTGACTGTTGAATAAAAATGTTTGTTCATTGCTGAGTTGAACTATATGTATAATGTATATAGATTATTTTTCAGCATAATATATAGTAAATTGGCGTTCCATTTTCCAATACTCTGAAACAATATTTTTCTTTGGAATCAATATAAGCTTCAAGTTATTTCATTAGTCTTTTTTTATTCAAATAACAATTTTATTCATGTAACATTTTAAATCGAGTGTCATTTGAAATAGAGCAAATTTTGCGCACAATCGTTTTTAATGTGTTCAACAAATGCATGAATCAATTGAATTCAAACAAATGAATTGTTAGGTGAATAGATTGAGGAATGAATATTTGTGACAATAAAAAGTAAAGCGCCGTTCCATACAATTCTATCACTTCCTGATTTTCCAAAATCTTGAAGATAAAATAAGTAAAAAAAAATTTTATATTGAACGATTTTATTGAAAAAAGAATATGATGATGTAGGTAATGTACTAAAAACTAAAAAATTATTCGGAAGGTCCTAGGTAGCAGTCATCACACCCATACTATCCTCGGTAATCCACAGTATTGATCATATAGAAGGATAATAAAATCGTTGGGCGTAGCGTAACTTGAGTAAATAATAATAATACTTTTTATTTCCATCGACATAACGCGGAATTTAGAGTGCTATATTACCATCTACGGCACTTTTACGGTATTGACGAGACACCGGTGTTGTCCTACTCTCCGGGGGATGTTGAATCCGTTGTGAGGAACGAGAAGTGCCGAATTTATTGGAAGTATTCGTTCCCCACCCTCAGGCTCATACAAGCTAATAATCCCGATGTAGTCCTTCTCGACCACCAGAGCAAGACGATATTTGTCGTGGTGTTTTCAGCTCCTGGCGAGACGGATATCGTTCGAAATGAGGAGGAGAAACGAAAAAAAATTCGAGATTTTCTCTTCGAACTCCGCAGACTCTATCCAAGATGGTTATTCTGATTATTGGAGTCCTTGGTGGAATGATACCCTTTCTACTTTCGAATCTTAAAACCATACCAGCCTGCCGCACCAAGGCAGAAATCTTAGCCGGACAGATGCAGAAGGCTGTCATTCTTAGCTCACTGCGCTTGCTCAGGGCACATTATTTTCGGAACCAATGATCACTTAACCCCACGGTGTGGGGAGTGGTCGTTGGTTGATATTGCTGGCGCGCTTTCCCGAATATATCGGGGCTTCGGGGGATAGGGCCTGACCAGCGCACATACTTTGGTGAAAAAATAATTTTTATTCCAGTCAGATCATATTTACATGAATGATATTGGAACAGTCACAGACATAATGTATACATAAAATCAGATGAAATGACAATATTGGAAGTTTTGAAGGTTATAATAATAACCAGGACATCCGAGTGTCATAACTCACGTTTTCTTTTTGCTCATGAATTCTGATATGTCATAGTAACATTCATCAAATAGAAAGTTTTTAAGTTTTCTTTTGAAAACATTGACGTTGTCTTCCAATCTTATACAGGCAGGCAGATGATTTGGAAATTGAATTCCTCTGGATATTGGGCTTCTCTCATACAGACTAGTTCCATTTTTAGGAGGTTAATAAGTTTCCAGGATCGAGTTAGGTAGTCGTGATAATCAGAGTTGAGGTATGTAAATACTACGCCCAACGATTTTATTATTTTTTTACCTGTATCTGTATCATCTGGAAGATCTGATGACTTCGGAGCTTTAGTGTATATAATATGTCTGGAAGTGACAGTATCATAAAAACAGGACTTCCTACAGTTGATCTGTTGATCAGATTCCACAAATGTTCAGTACAATACTTTGATCCAGATCTTCGATAAGAGGTAAAACTGGAACCACTGACGAAGAATAAATCCAAAACGAGTACTATTCTCGATCGCGCGTTTTACCAATCAAGTTGGCGACTTCAGGCGATGAAGAAAACTGTTTGGTGAAACGTGCGTCGAAAATTGTTTTGCAGGTCTGGCGAATGGGAAAAGTGCTTGTTTTGGATTCGGATCTATGCTCATTGAGTTATTTGAGAATAACGTTATTGCAGTTTCGTCCTATAAGGACATTTTCAAACAAAATAGCGCAAAACACTATTCTCAAAAAAAGATATCCTGCAACATTATCTGAAGATCTAAAATTAGTAGTTATATATACCGAAAGTACCAAACTCAACTCAAGAAACTTACGGCACTAACACAGAAAATAAAAGTGGTAAAAAAATCATAGAAAGTTTTATTTCTCATTTTTCATGATTATATACTACCACGTAGTAACGGCTACATCTACCAATTTATTAATAGATTTTTCAATCATAAAAGTATACATTGCGATTTAAGGGTATTTTTATAACAGATGTACCAACTCACCCTACTAAAGAAAATATGCAGGGACGAAGACTAATCTGGGCACATACCTGTAACAAAAATTAATTATGAGAAATATTGCTCGAGCAGGAATTTGGGATTGAATGGAATTTTCTAAAACGGCATTATTACCCACATTTTCCACTCTCTAAGAGGAGAAGGTACATTTCGAATAATTGTTTTTCCAGTAATCCATGTAGCTTGAAAAATAATACCCGTTAGCGTTTCAGGTATATTAAAATAAATGAAATAATTCTCGTTTAGGTATTTGCCGTCGGGGCTGAACATAGGCCTTTTTCCGCAGAATTCCTTTCGCCTCTCTCCACTGAAATACTGAAATTAATTGAAATTAACTGCCTGAAAAGAACAGCATAAGCTTGTATTTTTTAATTATCAAAATTGAGACGGATAGCACACTGTTTATTTTAATTTTATCCCAAAAGTGATGATACCTTTATTAATTGCCTATCCACGTTGAATTGCCATTTCAATAAGGAAAATTGAATTTAGCTTCTGGCTAAACTTGAATCAATTACAGAAAACCTTTTCTTGCAGAGATATCGAAATAGAATATTGAAAGTTATATTTAGCTCAAATGTTGATTTCTCAATAGCATCGAGTACTACGTCACCACCTTAGTGTTATGTGCAGGTCTTGTTGCTAATTCGTTTCGCTATATAAGCCAAACATAATTGTTCGAACCACAAAACGCTCAGCTGTGACTATTTTTTATACATCTGAAAGAGTATTATTGAGGGAAAACGCAACTTTATTTCCAACTAGGACAATATGAGAAATAATTAAATTTTCAACTATTGATACAAATTGTGAAGTTCACCTTTTGCTGATATTTAGATTTACATAATAGAAAACTAAATGTTATTTGAAAATATTAGTCCTTTGCAAAACTAAAAAATAATATACTGAAACTGAGCTCGATTAAATGAAAATGAACAATTTTCATTTGCTTTTTTCAGCCTAACGGAAAAGTTTGAAATTTTTAGTATATTTAGAATCATTCCAAAACTTGACGAGTATTTCCAGAAAACTAGTTTAGCTTTTATCATATGCATCTGAGTTAAAACACCCAAATATTCAATTCAAACGTTGTTCAATTGGATACTGAAGGAGCCTAAAAATTGCATATTGAAAATTTTCAAAAGGTGACAGGTTTCGATTTGGTTCTGCCAGTTCAACGGTAAAGATAGAACCCACCGATTAAAAAAAACAGCGCACATGGAGAATTAGAAATATATGTCTGAATTATGGCGTACAAAATGTTTTTTCTGTGGTTTTAGCAGTAACCACTCACCGAGTAAACAATCTCTAGAATTGAACTTTTCAAAAACAAGATCTCATTAATCAAAAGTCACATATTATCTTCGAAAATTCCTTCTTGGAACCCTGGTTGTCGAAAATATACTTAGAGAAAACAAAAAATGTTCTATAAAATGTATTCTTATCACCACAATATATTTCCATCTCAGGGTTGAGATTCGAATTGAACTCATCATTCATTATGTGACGTTGAACAAAGTTTCCGATTGGAATGTCATATTTTTGAGTTACCTCTTAACAAGTGAAAGCAAGATATAAATCAAAAACAGTACAAAGTATGATAACATTACCGAACTTAATCCTGTTATACACAACACAAGCATTGGTAATCCTTTTTGTACATCTGGACAATGGTGCCGCACAAAGCTGGCCACGCGCCACCACATTCCCTTGACAAAATGGGAATTTCTCGTCCTCTCCTGTATATGACTACTTACTGTAGTGAAATTTGGGGGTACCGTGAAATAGTTAGAATGATGTATAATATCAAAGAACTTATAAATAATGACTGTAACTAGACAGCGATACGGCAAAGGACACAGTTACGTCAGAACTTTCTGAATGGAACGCAAAAAGTTATTTCAAGTCAGCGCTGCAAAATTGGTGAAAAGGATTCGATTTTAAAGGAAAATTTTTTCACCAAACACTTTATCATTGGTATTTTACTAACCCCGACTCCCTGCCATACTTATTTCACATACAGTGTGTCTCAGCTAAAACTTGTTACTTCCCCAAACTGCGAACTCGTGAAAACAATCAAGAATCGCTCAGACCCGTCGATTTTCATTTCAACGGGGAACATTTTCACTAAATACATCAGCATTGTGTTGTCAACCCCCTCATCGACAGCACCCCTTACCTCAGAATTTTCAATTGGTGTAATGAAATTGAGGATCGATCAAGTGTTGTTGAAGTTTTAATGAAAAGTGAGTTTCATCAAGATATTTTTATTTTTAATCACCTAAAATGTAATCATCATATAAAAGGTTCAAAATGTGAACCATGCAGTTCCATACGGAAGTATGACCGATTTTCGAAATGTCTTCGCATATTTTTCAACATTTCTGGGGTCACTGCACGACACTCCACAACAATTCTCCTACGTAGAACATTAAGAGAATTCGGCTGTGTAATATAAACTTTGGATTTCGAATGATCCCATAAAAAAAGTCCAATAGTGATAAATCAGGAGATCTAGGCGGCCATTCTATCGATCGTCGCCTTTCAATCCATCTTCCTGTGAAATTGTAATCTAAAAATTTACGTACAGGTGCAACAAATTGTGGAGGAGCTCCATCTTGTTGAAAGGTGAGCTGATCTCCAAGTAGACAATCATCGTCTTCAAGTAATTGAGTGGTTCTGGGGTTCACAGTTGTATCAAGAAGTTTAAGATACGTTTGTCCGTTGAGGTTACCTGCAAAAAAATATGGACCTACAATATGGTCTCCCAGAATTTTAAGGAGTTTATGAATGAGCCTCCCTGTACTAATGGGGATTTACGTAACTCCGTTGTGCCTGTTCACATGCCCATTAAAATAAAAAGAAGATTCGTCAGAAAATCTCACATTGTAGAGGTAATTATTATCACCAATCAATAATTGGCTCATGATTTCGACAAACTCTGTACGTCTGTCAGGATCATCTTCATTTCCTTCTTGTACGTTCTGCATTTTATTTAGGATGGAATTTTGCTTCTTTCAGAATTCGATGTACGCTGCTTTTAGAAACTTCAGAAATAGTATCAAGTTTTCTTGAAGATTGAATGCTGTGCATCACTGCATGTCCTACAACTGCAACAGCGACCCCTTCATTTCTTGTAGGCTTCTCTCGTTCATGTTTTTTATCCATCACTGATCCCGACTCCATGAACTTGAATCACGTGATGTGACTTTTGTTGGATAAATTTCATTGAAAACTCTAGCAGTAGCTCTAGCACATCGCCCATATTCAAAATATGCAGTTACAATGGATATTCTCTCTTGTATACCATTAACCATTTTCAAAAGTTTTCAAATTGTTGAATGAAGTGAATCGAATACATCAATATACTAAAAGGCTTAAACAAAGATATGCGTATACAAAAACACATAAAAACGTCTGTCTCACCTCCTAAACTATTATTTCTGAAAGCATATTATTTTTCAATACAGTGGCGTACCCACAGTGAACCTTTTTTACGATGATAATATTTTAGGCGATGCAAAATAAAAATACCTTGAAAAAACTTGGTTTTCATTGAAACTTCAACAACACTTGATCGATCCTCATTTTCAGTACACCGATGTATTTGGGATTGAATTCCCTTCAAAATGATGTATCACAAATATAGTAGTCCTATTGAAAATTCTGAATAACATTAAAAGCACGCATAGAAGAATATAGATATCTACAGATTCCGGAATAGAAAAATACATTCAACTAACCTCCCTACAGAGGGACATGTGTTCATTCATGAATTAAAAACTATTAATTTTCATAAAAAAAGTCAAATTTCTTGTAGAAAATGTGAAAATTGATGAACAAAGAACAAGAATACAATTTTTGTTTGAAGGTGATTGACAATGTTTCATGATGAATTTCGCTGGTTCGGACTTCCATTGTCTACTATATAAAATGATTTGAAATCCCTGAAACAACTAGAAAAGAATAATTAAATGAATAGCTGAAAATAACAATTATATTAAGCAAAATAAACCTGAAATGAAATAATGGTGCAATAAAATGAAATGATATCAGAATTCAACGTAGCATCTGAATATGTAATGATATACAGGGCGTTCTATTTAAAAAAATGGAATTTTGGTCTGTAGCACCTACACCAAACACCCTGTATATTTAAAAATTATATCAAAATATAGCTCTCATGAACTCCTAAAACTTTTGTATGAAACATTTTTGTGTATCTCCTTCAACAAACCAGATATTGCCTGTCACATAAAATGTGGGACACCCGGTATAGTAGACAATGGAAGTCCGAACCAGTGAAATTCAAGAATACAATATGTGAGTTGATCTTGATATGAATTCTAAGAAAAAATGTTTTATGGAATAGGTAAATCTTGATACAAGCTTTAATATCACGTAAATTGTTCAATGTACTAAGTAAGTTGATGGGATTCATTTAAATAAAAATTTCATGTTCCTTCTTTTTATAGCTTGAATATAAAAGCTTGTACTCAAAATAATGTTTTACTTTTGATTTATTTTCAAAGACTTTTTCGAAGCACAGTTTGAAATGACATTTCTGAATTTGTTTAAAAAAGGATTATGGTGATGTGAAATAAGTCAACAAGTGAAATCCTGACGTAACCGGTTTCTAAATCAAAATTCTGAAAAACAAGCTGGCGCCGCACTATGCAAAACAGTGGAAACAATTCTTCTCGACAAACGACGATTAGCAGTTGACATTGAGTTCGTGTTTGGATTGTGTAGAAGGTAATAGAATATTAGATTAATTAGTATCTTCTTAATTAGCACAGTACATAAGGTAATATTTGCGTTTCCGGTGCGACCGTCTCATTTCGGAATGTAAACTCCGGCGAGCCCGTCTCGTTCCGCGCGAAAATTACTTCCGAATAGGTTATGTAAACGTAATAAATTTGCTGTGTTTGTCACTGCTATCTAATGGTTTACCTAATTTCAAGTGTTCTCATTGGAAAGAACGTAATGAAGTTTTTGTTCTAGAAAATATTTTAAACGAGAACTGATATTTATGTATTCAGTGTTGAATTTTAAAATGGTGAACACCAGGACCGCTTTCCTTGACCTGAGTAAAGTTTTACGGTCGTAGATAACAAGATCAGAGCTATTTTCTGGGTTTGTTAGACTCTATCAAAGGCGATAAGGCAACGGATGAAATAAAATTATATAAAAGAACAATTCGTTCAGACCAGCCTCAAACTACCTACACTGTACGTTAATGGACTGACAGATCAGAGAACAACTATTCCTCTAGCTAATACCAGGAAGGACGTTGGATCATATC